AAAATTCAGAGTCATAGAAGGGAAGTTATTTTACTTTACTAAATGATTATTTTGTACAATTCTGTCTCATAGATTGAAACCAGCAGAGAGTTAGCCATTGATGATTTAGTAGCTAGGAACTAAAGGTTTTTTCCTTTTTGCAATTACTAATTATAGCTTTTAGCTGTTTAACCCACCCATTGTTAACTGTGCTGTTTAGGCAATATGCTATGTGACTCCCACTAGGCTCCTTAGATAACAGCTTTCTGAAGCCTGAGTCACCATGGTAATGGGTGTGTGAGCTGTTTTTCAGGAATTAGAACTCCTCGTCCACTTCAGGCCAGTTGAGACCACCAAATCATCAAGTGGGCCCATGCAGATGTCCCATAGGTGACCTTTTGATGTCAAGAGGCTAAAAACTCCACCCTCAGATCACGCTAATGCCACCATTTTGTGAGCATGGGTCCTGTGAAGAGGCGTGGAGTCTGACTGCGCTTGCGCAGATCATCATTACCTCACCTCCCCTCACCTCCAATCACCTCTCTCCACATTTCAGACCACCTTCTCCCCTATCCCATGAATATCCCTGAGTCCCTGTTTTCAGGGAAGCGAATCTGAGGCTCATGCTCTTGCTTCCTCGCTTGGCTGCCTTGTGAGTAAACCCTCTCTCTGCTGCAATCTCATCGTCTTGGTGTTTGGCTTTCTGAGCAGTGGGCAAAAATGAACCTGGTTCGGTAACAAATGGCGAGCCAGCCAGGAGCTAATTCCAGATGGACCTTTTTGCCGGAGTTTCGTCAGCCCCTCACCAGTGTGGAGGACCTGTGGATGAGTCCAGCAGCTGCCGGGAGCATTTCTCCTGGGAGTGTTCCAGGATTCTTTCCTGGCTTGGTGCTGCTGACTCCCTGGCACATATTTTCACTTTGCAGTAGAGAGATGGTTTCTTGGTTTGGAAGATGTGTTTTTGGCGAGTAACTTTAGTACAAGTGACTGCATCCTTATTTCTTCTTCCTTTAAGTCTGACTTCTGAAAGGAAGCCTTGGTTTGGCAGGGCACACCCTCTGTGACTTCTGAAAAAGGAAGCCTCAGTCTGGCCTTCATTGTGAGGGTCTTGTTTTTTGAGGATGCTTGATAATAGGGAAGAATTAGGGGATCTGCTCACAGAAGTGCCCTTGGCTTGGCTTAGCTTAGCATAAGTATACTTTGACCGGCTGTGTCTAAATTCTGAAACAATGGATAAAACTAGTTTGATTCCCACCTGCAGCCCCCTAGGGTGCATTCTTCAAAACTTGTGACAACTTTCAGTTGCGAGTCTATGAAAAAGATGGTATTTTTCTGTGACACCACATGGCCACAATCAGGGAGCTCTTGCAATGACTAGTCTTAAGAACTTAAATTTGGAATCTCAGCTTCCACTTGTGGTCTTACAGATGCTAATGAAAGCTCCACACCCCACCCCCACCCCAGGGAGCTCTCCTCTGCCTGGTTTTAAAGAGTCCATGTTCCACCCCTGGGAGCTCTCCTCTGGTTTTTGGGCTTCTGGAGTGATTCCAGATTGGCTCCTTGGTCAGTCCTTTGACTGACAATCTGGAACCCTGTTTTGTCTCCTGTCAAGAGCTTGTTGAGGATTTTAGGCGCCTACTATATCAGTTGTGGGGCCAGGAGACTGGTAATTTATTCTGTAAACTGTCTTGCCTGGGAACTGTTGTTTGTGTGACCTTTATCTTGATAACTCTCCGGAAGGGGCTGGGAGAGCGAGACCTGATGACCTCTTTCCCTTCTTTGCTGTCTCGTTCGTCACCTCCTCTGTTGTCACCAAGTCGGGGTTCAGTTCAGGCTGTACCTGAGCAGAACCTAGATCTTCTGTAAAATGAAAACTTGATAAACTTTCTGCCAGGGACTTAACTCAACCTTTGGTGTTGGGAGCCTACCCCTGCCAGCTCCAGGCCTTTGTCTCTTGCCTCCCTAGCTTGCCTTGTGCTGGCTTCACGGGATTAAGTGGCTGTGCTGTTGACTAAAACCTTATAACTATGTTGACAGCTGCAGTTGGGTACTGCACCCTTCTCTGGCCCACTGTCAGCCAGACACTGACGGTGCTTAACCACCATGGGGAATGCCCCAAGCATCTCTGGAGACTCACCCCTCAGGTGCATTTTAATTAACTCGAAAGACTTTCAACTTTGTGTGGGTTATGCCCCCGAAACTCCATCTTGGAGAAAACTTGAGTGGTTTCTTTGTGCCTTTATGATGTAGTGGACAGGTAGATCAACCCATAATGTCATTTGTGTTACAACCCAATTTCTGAAAAATCAGGAGCAATTGTCTTTGGAAAATCCTTGTAAGACTGGAAATGTAGTTTTAGAGGCAGTTCCACCCATTTCCCTTATCTCGAAGAGCTTGCAAATCCTCTAAGCACTATCTAGCCCATCACTAATTCCTAAGACTGAAGGGGAAAAAAAAAGGAAAAAGTCCAAAACAGCCAGAAGAGTGCCCTCACCAAAAATCTAGCATCTTGAGGGTCTTCTCCACACATATTAGTAAAAGGGCTCAAAACAAAATTTGGATTCATAACTAGAGAGGCTTGTACCTGATTCATGGCAGTAATTTTAAAACAATAGCTGTGCAATCTCTGTATATGTGTGTCTGTATGTATGTTATATGTGTGTGATATTTTTACCTTAGGATGGTATGGCCAAAATTAAGGGCTCTGTTTAATTGGCTAAAAGTAAGTGGTTACATCAATTATTTACAAATGGAAAAGAAATTAACCCAAATGTCTTTTAAGTTAACATGATATAAAATTAATCTTTGGTAACTGAAAGCTTATTTAAGGTTGTTGATTTGATTGAAATAAGCATGTCCTCATAATTGTCAGAATTTGGATATGATGCAGACATGTCTGGGTTTATTGGTCAAATAAGCTGATGTTATCTTTATTAAAAAACTGTTTAGCAAAACTAATAACTTAAAATGATGGCTAATTTTGTCTAATGTCTCATGAAGCATTATAGGTAATCTAAATAATTATTGGAAACAAGTAAACTAAATAGATGTGAAAAAGATAAAAGTGTTGGGTAAACTTTTAAAAATAATTATGTCTTATGACATGTATATTTAAAATAACTTCCAAAATCTTTCTGGTAACCTGAAACTTTGAAGTGTTGCTAGGTAAAATTGAATGATAAAAACTCACTGAACATCTGGGTCATTTTTCAAATAAGATAAAATACTAAAACATTATCATTAGACATATCTAGATTTATCTGCTTTTGGCTTTTTATTACAAAGAAACTAAAAGGTGTTTGGGTCTATTAGTAAACATGTCTTGTATTTTATTAAGATTGTACCATGAAGTAGCATGTTTCTAGAAATTATAAAATGTATTTATAAATTGGCCAAGCTGCAGTATGCTAATATAAAAGACAGTTCATAATTGCTTAGTTTTTACTAGGGTCTGTAAGGGTTAAAAATTCTAATTAACATATGTAATTAAAGCTACTAAAATTAATTAGGCAAACATCTTTGTATCTAAGGAAAGTAAAATGTATGTTTTCAGTATAGAAAGTATAAAGACATTTATAGAAAGTATAAGGACATTTTTTTGTTGGGTTAAGAAAGGCAAATTTGCCCTAAAGTACAAGAAGAAAAAGAAAAAGAAAATGGGACAAATTCTGAATGTGCAAAGAAAGTTATAGAAGGTTTGTGAAAGAGAAATTCTGAAAGGAGTTTTATGCCTGGTCAAGTTGGCTAAGATGAAAGTAAATCCAATTAAGTAAGTGAGTTTTAATGAAAAAAATGAACTGGTGCAAAAATTAAAATTTGCTTTTCTCTCTCAAAAGAATAATTTTCTTAAACTTTTGGTCTGCTCTTGATAAAGAGGTTTTAACAGGTTTTTAAAATTTATTTTTGAGAAAGTCTACCTAAAAGACATAAAATTTATGTTTTCTTAAAATAATTTCCTATGTTCAGAAAGACTGACATTTTTCTATTAAGATTTTTTTGACTGTTTTAACTGTTTGCCCTTGACTGTTTCTGTTGTCCCTTTGATTGAATAGAGTGAACATTGTTTCCTATTTGACCAAGTGTTTTAAAACCTTTTGATATTTTTGACCAGCTCCTTGTCCCACCAAAATATTCAAATCCTGAATAAAGGCTTTATTTTGGCCAGGAAGAAGAGAAGAGAATTTCTCTGAGGATTTTCAGAGGGCCCCTGAGACTTCTCAAAGAGATTTGCTCTCTCTTCCTGTAAGGAGGAAGACACTAAACTTATTACTCTTATTTGGTATGTTAAATTACATGGGAAACATTGTAAAATAAGTGATGATAAACTTTCTACGGTGATATTATGTGAGTAAATGTTATTGATATAAGTATTTTAAAAATTATATAACATTCCTAAAATTCTGATTGGTCCTGGTTGTCGGCCATAATTCTGGCTATTATTTTAAAGTATTGTATGTCACAAATTAACAAAATTTCTTTGTCAGTTTCCATTTTGGGATCTTGTTTTTTCTAGACAGTTATTGTTTTACTCTGATGCTTTTGCAAAATATGTTTTGTCTTCAGAGAAATTCATGGAAAGGACTCTGACACTCTAGAGATTTCTGATAAACTTTCAGATTGTAAAACTGAACTGGGTAAGAAATTACAGAACTCTAACAGAGAAACTGATGACCTCATAAAACTGCTAACAGAAGATTAAGATCAAGAATCAGTTACACAGGACTGAATGAACTGATGAGGATGACTATGATTTGTATGACTTCCCCATTTGAGATATTGCTGATTTTTTATGTTCTGTTTTGTTTCCATGATTTAAGGAAGTCTTTTACTCTTTTTTTCTCATGCTTACTATGACTTATATCAATTTGATAAATTATACCTTTGTAAGCAGATTTGAAACATTTATTTTTCTTCTTACCTGATCCCTCCAGGATTTGGAAACTCTTAATGAGTGAGTATTTTTTTCATGGCAATAGAGTTATTTGCATAAGTTCAATAAGAATCTGTTCTCCTTTTAACAGGACACAGTTGGAAACGTTGGTTATCTTACCAAAGCTTTGACTGGAATGTCATATTTGAGAGAAACATACAGACTCAGATATGACAAGACAGCTTTTGAGGAATAAAGGTTGACTTCCTGTAATAAAGCCACTTGGAAATATTGGCTTGGTCCTTGTTTACAAGGAATCCAGCAACCTGGGTAAGTAAGGAAGGTCACTTATCTGGCAGGTGCCTGGAATCTCAAAATACTTTTGGGGAGCCTCAAGAGAAGAGAGGAATTCACCCAAATCTAAACTCCAGGCAAAGCCTGATGACAAATCCTTGGCTTGGCTTTTCTGGCCTCGAGAGGCATTTAAAGCTCAACTTGAGATTCCTTATAAAAGTTCTAGCAAAGCAGATTTTAAAAAGCCTATATGATCAATGGCTATTCCTGCTGTAATTATGTAAATAATTGAATTAAGTTTTATTGAAACTAGGCTTATCTTGCAAACCAGTTAGTCTTAATTTGGCTCTCTTTGGTAAAAATGAGGGTGATTTTAGAGAGAAAAATTATGTTTCAATAAAAACTGTAGTACACATTCATGGATATTAGGTTCTAGTTCTGATAATTTTATTTGAGGTTTTTATTTTATGTCTGTTAACTGGACTGGATCCTGAATTCTTCTAGTCTCTTGAAATATCTGGCTACAAATCTCCAAACTAACATTTTCAATTTTTTTCCCACCATTTTCATTTGGAATCATTGAGAACTGAACCTGCCCTTTTTCCTGAAGACTTTCAAACTGAAGCTGGGCGACTTGATATAAACGTAAGAGAGATTCGTGTCTATTGCTGTGTAAGACACTCAGTAAGATACCTGAACACGTGATGACATCATCAGAGACATTTCAAACTGCAAAAGATGCTTGCACTCTGACACCTAGAAATCTTTTGTCTGGCTGCCACCTGGGTTCAGAAAGGCTCAACTTTGTGAACCCACCTGCATCACCATCTTACTAAGAGACTGGTTCAATGAGATGGAACAACCTATGCCCCTCATCAACAGGATAATCCCTCAAGATTGAAGATGAACAACAAAAGGTGGGATTGACACCAGTCAACACAAGGTTGGCATAAGGGAAGCCATATTGTAAAAAAGAAACCATATTGTAACTTTGAATGACTTCTGATTAACTAACCCAGACATACTCTGTAGATTTTATGGACCCTCTTAGTTGTTATAAGTTGATAACTTTGTTCTTTTGAATTACTTAGGAATGTGATGACCCCCAGGCAGAGAGTCTGTGCTGATGGCCATTATCAATGACAACTGAAAGACCAGGGTATAGGCCATTGCTCTGGTCTCTGATGCATATCCAATAAAACAAAAGACTATCAGGAACTGAGACCAGATGTCTGCCCCACCTGGAGATCAAATGGAGGCCCCAATGGAATTAGGTCTATTTTTGACGGACTGTTAAAATTTGGATTGTCTATACTTATCCTTATCATCAGATACTTGATTATAAAATGTGCTTTTTAGATGTAGAGCAAGATACAAAATTCTAATAATACAAAAACGTCAACATGAAGCCTGGAACAAGGGAACATTTCCAAATGAGAGTGCTAAACAGTTTCATTCCTCTCAGCCAGATCTATGCCCCGATTCAGCAGGAAGTAGCTAGATTGGTTGTTGCCCCAAACATTCTTTGGAATGACCAAAGAATAGGGGGATTGAAACTGGCAGAAAGTTAGCTATTGATGATTAAGTAGCTAGGAACTAAAGTTTTTTTTCCTTTTTGCATTACTGATTATAGCTTTTAGCTGTTAACCCATCCATTGTTAACCGTGCTGTTTAGGCAATATGCTATCTGACTCCCACTAGGCTCCTTTGGATAACATCTTTCTGGAGCCTAGGTCACCATGGTAATGGGCATGTGAGCTGTTTTTCAGGAATTAGAACTCCTCGTCCACTTCAGGCCAGTTGAGACCACCAAATCGTCAACTGGGCCTGCAGAGATGTCCGATTTGTGACCATTTGACAACAAGAGGCTAAAAACTCCACCCTCAGATCATGCTAATGCCACCATTTTGTGAACATGGGTCCTATGAAGAGGCATGAAGTCTGACTATGTTTGTGCAGACCATCAATTACCTCACCTCTCCTCACCTCTAATCATGTCTCTCCACATTTCTGACTGCCTTGCCCCCTGTCCCATAAATATCCCTGAGACCCTATTTTTGGGGAAGTGCATTTGGGGCTCATGGTCTCACTTCCTCACATGGCTGCCTTGTGAGTAAACCCTCTCTCTGCTGTAATCCCGTTGTCTTGGTGTTTGGCTTTCTGGGTGGTGGGCAAGAATGAACCTGGTTTGGTAACAAGATGAACTGATAATCAGTTCAAATATCTTTCTAAAGTAGCCAAATCTCCTACATGTGAATTTTAGACTTTAAAAATTCAGTACCCTAAGAGTGATGATCATCTGTCAAAATGATTCACTTTTTCACAGCACAGTTTTAAGATAAATTATTTTACATTCTATATTTGCACTCTCCGGGCTACAAAGAATGACACAATGGGCATGGCCTGCTATTTATTTGCAACATAAAGGAGACTAAACATGAAATCACTATTGTATTTGTATTGAGAAATTAGGATGAGTTAGAGGAAGCAGGAACTGTTAATGTGAGGCTTGTTTAAGTGGGGCCTCTTGTTTACATTCATTTGCTAAAGATGCAGGCTGGTTTGTAACCAATGGCATCTGAAAGGGTCCATTTGGCCCTTACTCTCAGATATACCTGAAGGACCCCACCCTTCCAGCCAGACACTGCTCCCTGCCTTCCTCTTTTCACAGCAGCCTCTGCTGCCTCCTCAGCCTTCTCCACCTCCCCAGCCTCCTTGCCTCCTTGTCTCCTTGCATCCTCGGCTTTGGACTTCTCAGGCCTCAGTCTCCTCAGTTCTCATCTCCTTTCACAGTCTGGATCTCCTCCCTCAGACCCCCTCTTTGGTTGGTCTGGGTATTTGGATGAATTCTTTTCATTTACTTCTGGCAGGAGGATGGCAAGATCATGCCACTGGTCTAGTCCCCCAGGTCTGTAGACTGCATATGGAGGTGTGCCTTTTGCAAGGGGGAGCAGGTTTTCATTTCCTTGAAGACCTGAGGTCAGAGTGGGGACTGATGGTGCAGACAGTGAAGCCCTTGTGTGGAGGGGAAAGGCCCTCACTTCCTGCTGCTCATGTCCTAGGCAACCACGGAAGACACGGGCACCGTGGATGACCTGTCGGCAACATCAGGGTTCCTGATCCACCAGTGCCACTTCATCCACTCATGGCATTCACAGAAGTCACTAGTCATAACCCTGTGCCAAACAAAATGGGGGTATTAGAAGTCAGGCCTCAGTGCCAGGACAGAGTAAGATTTCAATGAGGATTTGCTAAATGAACGTGTGAATGAATGCAGTGGTTAAATCAACTTTCTTGTATTTCCTTTATCTTGAATCAAATTGTTTGCTATTTTTAGCCATATTTTAACCGATTGGTAAGGCGTATTTACTGCTACACATAACATCGCTGAGGGGGACTCCAGAGTTGACTCTGACCCATTCTGAAGCACGTGCATCTGTGAACTCTGTTTTTCTCCCACAGTAATAATCCATTTAAATAAGTCATATATAGAGGAAATGTGGATGGTTGTTCTATTATGAATGTTTGTTTTTCCTTTGTGCCAATCTGTATTTGCCACAATAAAAAATGCGACAATTTACCAAGCATCTACCGTGTTTTGAGACATCAAGCAACATGTCTGGGGAGTTTTTCTTAGTTTCTACTCAAATTGACTGGGCCTTGCTTGACCCCTCTCCTCCCCACACCAAGCCACCATACCAGCACTTTTGCTACCAGTTGTCACCCCTCCTGTCCCCAGAGCCTCTGCTCACCTTCTCATTTTCTTTCTTTTTCACCCACAAACAGTCCCCTCATTGCCCCAGAACAGCTCAGCTGCCAGAGGCCCTGCCCAGCGCCTGTAGGAGAGGCTTGGGCCTAGAACCTGCAATTACTATGGCTGCTGGTCCAGGAATATTATGAAAACCTAGTGGGGTGGATGAACCATGCTTTGTTGACAGTATGTGTGTTCACGTCTCCTCTGCTGGGCCATTAGTTCCTTAAGGGCTGGCTCTCTGTGACCCGCCCTACCATTCCTATAGCCCCTGGCAAAGGGAGGCACTCACTACAGGTTTAAACTTAATTGTAAGTTTAAAACAATGGGATACATGGACATGGTTCTCATTAAACCTTAAATTGAGGGCAGAGGTCATGTTGCATTGGTCTTTCTGTAGCTCAGCACTGGCACAGCTGGCATATTGTGGGCACACAGCAGTGGGTGCTAAGTGAATGGATTGGTGAACTACTGGGTCATTTTGACTGAAAAGATGATTGAAGTGAAAACTTCCAGGAGGCAAACAACATGGGATAGTTTCTTGAAAACGTATCATTCTTTTCTCACAGATCAAAAGTATTTTCAGGATGAAAGTTTTCAGGGTTAACAAGCTGGTAAGACAAGTTTGGGTGACAATAGCCAGCTCACTATCTTTTTAAGAGTGAGGTTGTGTGTGGACATACAAAATGGCAGATCCTACCCAAGAAGGCAACCTGAGACACTTGGAAGAAGGACTCCATATCGCTTAGGGCCAGGAATCATGGGTGGGGAGCAAAGAAGGGAATTAAAACTGGTACAAATTTTCTGCCTGGAAATCAAGGTGCTTTTTTTTCTTTTGGCCATCAACAGAGATAAGAAAAGTGAGTTTTGGGTGCAAGATTAGTTTGGACTTGAATGTGTCTCTGAACTCCAGCGTCCATAATTATTAAATAGGGGTTGTACTTGCTCTTTCTAAGGAAATGGGATAATGGCACTTTGAAATATGAAAACTGGGAAGGCATAGACAATTACATTAATGATAACCTTTATTATTATTTTAATTATATTTAGATATATTCTGCCAGCAGTTAGAATAAAGACTGGAAGTGATATTTGGGATCCAAAGGAAGGGATGAGCCAACTGAGGACGCGTGCGTGAATGGAGAAAGGTAGAGGTAGCAAGTCATTTTTTTTGAGAGTGATTAGCCCTGAGCTAATATCCACCACCAATCTGCCTCTTTTTGGTGAAGAAGATTGGCCCTGAGCTAACATCTGTGCCCATCTTCCTCCATTTTATATCTGGGAAACTGCTTGATAAGTGGTTCAGATCTGCGCACAGGATACAAACCAGCAAGCCCTGGGCTGCCAAAGTGGAGCATGCAAACTTAACCACTAAGCCACCGGGACTGCCCGTGGTAGCAAGCCCTTAGGGATGGGGAAGAGGATGGGGTTTCTCCAAGGAGTAGTGAGAACTCCAAGAGAAGACTGGACAGTGCAGAGTGGTCGAAAGCAAGACTATGGATAAGCTGGAAATGTTCCACAGTGTCAAATGCTGCAGAGAGGCTGAATAAGAAGAGGAATGATTAAACCACACTGAATTGGGTCAACTTGAGTAAATGGTTTTGGTAGCAGGTAGAGGTAGAACCTAGACTTCGTATATTTTGGAGGGGTGGTCGGGACTAGGTGTAAAGTTCCTGGCAAAGAGGAGGTGGTGGCTGTGGGTATCACCACAACTGTGCATGCTTAACAGCAAAGGAAAGAGAGCTTGATCAATTCTTTGATACTCTTATTGCAAAAGGATCTGAAGGGAAAAATGGGCAGAAAGATTGGCTGAGGACATATGGAAGGTGCAGGGAAGTAGGGAGGAGGGAAAGGAGACTCTTGAGGAGCTGTCACATTCAGCCTAAGTGGAGGGAGTAGCTTTACAGACGAGAGAGAACTCTTTTGAGGCTGGGGGGAAATGTGAGGGTCTTGGCAGAGTATTGGCAGAGCGGCAGAGAGGGAGAGCTGGAGGGAGGCCTCCTGTGAGCGCAGAGCGAGAACTGGGCAGTTAAGAAAAGAAGCTCCGAAATTGCGCTGTGAAGAGCTAGGTATTTAGCAGATGTTTCTTGTAGAAAAACCTACAAAACTGCAAATACAAATGTTCATTGGTCACACTCAGCTAAGAACTATGTATTAACTTTCACACAAATAAAAAACATATAGTAACTAGATCCTTAAATGCTGGTTGAATCAAGTTCTTTTTGTTATGTGTTGGCAGGCACTGATGTTCTTTATGAATACAGCTTCGTTGTTGTGCACGGATGTGTGCATTGTATGTGTGTTTATTTTAAAGATGTTGCAGTGTACCTTGTTTCTTCTCACACCTGACTCAGTCCTGACTTTGCTTTTCAGAAGCTGGAAGCTTTTGTCCAGGACTCTCCTTTTCATACGCTGGAAGCCCTGGTGACGTGCTTTCCTCCTCCCCTTCTCTTCTTTGGGCAGGGGCCCTAGGCCGGGCAGACTACATGGGCTAGTGGTTGCTTCTGTCACCTGCATGACCCACTACTCCAGGGCTGAGCTTTGCTGAGCACAAAACTACTTCTTACTAGCATGTGATTGAAAGGCCGAGAATGAGTAAAGGTCCTGGCTTGCTGACTGGACTGTAATCAGTGGGAGCCCCTTAGCCCTGGACACCACTTGGGGCCTGCCGGTGTTCACACCACTTGGGGCCTGCCGGTGTCCTGTAAGCCGGACCTGGAGGTCAGCCTGGCCCATTTTGCCATTAGCACTACCTCCCTAAGATGACAATGTCCCACCTTCTCATGCTGCTTTGGTATTTCCATCTTGCAGACATATCCCTGCACTGAGCCCTTCCTGCCAACCCTATCCCTTGCCAGGCTCTCCTTTCCCCTATAAACAAAGTCTCCTCTACTGTCAACTTCTTTGTAAATACTCTACCTCCTTCCTCTCCCCCAAAGAATGACCTATCTCCTCCCACCACAGAGCTGGGGGTGGGGGTGGAGTTGGCCTTCTTCTTGCTCCCTATTACTGCCTCCTAACCAAAACCACATGCCACCAGGCTTTACCCCTCTCTGCTCCACTTGTCTCCTGAGCTTTTCTCCATGCTCCCTGAAGACTTTGACATTTAGTCTGCAGACTTTTCCTTTCAACCCTTAGTCCTGCCATCATCCTGGTCAACTTCAACTTTCACGTGGTCAGCCTGGCCAACACCATCAGCACTGACAGCCTTTACCTCCCCTCCACTCCACTTTGGCTGCCTGTTCCATGGTCATACTTGTGCCTATCATTGCCTAGGACTGACTCATCTCTGTAATCTTAAATTTCAGAAGCACATCTGTGGTTATCATCCTCCAGGACAGAAGCTCTCCCTCTCATCTACTCCTACAGTTTCCAACCTCACACACCTCTGGACTAGTCCATTTTCACTTTTCTGCATTTACTTCCCTCTCTGACCCAATTCTCATAGCCATTATTTCAGTTATTCTCTCCCCACCAACCTTCTTGCTTCCTCATTAGTCATCAAGCAAGACTCCAGTCTGAAGCATGGCTCCTAATTCATCCTCTCCAGTTTGTTGACTGAGGAAAAATTCACTACAATTCAAATAGCTGATATTTATTCAGGCGATTAGAATTGCAATTTTGGAGACACAGATTCAGGCAGAAACCTAAAATGTGTTCTGAGGATGACAACAGAGGCAAGGGTTTATAAACACAAAAAGAGAGAAATCACACAGGTTGTTTTGCAAAATTTTGATTGGGGCTAGCAACAACTGTTGCTTCTTGGCTTTATGTGATTGGTTGCTAAGGCCATCTCTAAGGCAAAAAGTTCTTATCTATGGGAGTAAGCATATTTCTTGAGGGAGGGTCAAGATGACAACAGTGAAGCACAGTTCAAAATTTACATGGCGTCCGGGGTAGAGATGTGGTGTGCGTGCATAAGCTGCATTTCCCTAATGGCCTCCAGCTTCCATTTTAGAGCCCTGATGTATGTACTCCAATTGTTCTTCCTGTCACAAGTTCTATATATGGGTCCTTGTGGATTGCTGGTGAAAATCATATGAGTTTTCTGCCTAACAATCCCTTTTAGCAGCTTTAGGGAGCTTCTGCCACTCCCTTTTTTCCTTTCCAAACCCTCCACCTCAATACCTTGCTCACTCTCAGCAGAAGGCCTTTTTTTCTTTTTCACTCGGAAAACTGAGTCTGAAAAGCAGGGAGTTCCTTCAGTTACTCTCTTGTGTTTGTGTCCATCTGACTCTCATCTTTCCATCCTTCCCCTCTTAGGAAAGACCTACCAGCTGCTGTTTATTAAGGCTTTATACCTGGTCCCCCAACCCACCATCTTTACCTGTATCTTTCCTCTAAGCCTATAAACTTGCTCACAGCTTTCTGATCTGAAAATCAAAACCCTTGCTACCATCCTACCCGTCTCTTTCCCTTTACAGA